GGACAGTGATTTATCACTGAAAATTATCTAATCACACGTGCTTTCTTTGCCAAAAGCTTTGTTTTAACTTTTAAATTTATTACATTTGTAGGTTTTAACTTTTATCTTATGACATTTTTAACCATTAACTATTAGAATTAAAAAAAATAGTCTTCACTTATAATATTTTATTAATTTTGTTAATTGACTGTTAATTTTATTAGTTGATTATTAATTACTTGTTAGTTGTCTGTTAGTTGGTAAAAACTTAATTTCAACTAATAGAGTTAACATTCAGTTAACAAAACTATTTTGTTAGTAACTGTTAATTCTATTAGTTGACTGTTAGCTAATTATTAGTTAGCAAAAATCTACGTTTAGCTATTAGAATGAATAATTAATTAACAGAGTTAATAATTAATTAACAGAGTTAATAATCAATTAACAGAACTAACGAAATATTATAAAATGAGGGTTATTTTTTTCAACTCTAATAGATAAGGGTTAAAAATGTCATAGTTTAAGATAAAGGGTTAAAATCTATAAATTTAGGAAGATAAAGGGCTAAAGTAGGTTTTTGCCACTTTTCTTTAGCCTAGGACGCGTACAGAGTTTTATTTCTGTTAAACTCTACATTTGTATTTTGCCTTCAATTTCTGGTTAGTTTTGAACTGTTGTTAGACGTGCTAGGGAGCAGAGGGCTAGGTCGACCTGACCGTATTAGTCTGCTGGGCTGCCCCTGCTCACTGTGTGCGGTGATATAAGGTCGGCTGTGATTCTTTATGATTGTAGTGACTCTTGATGAATTAGTTTGTTTGGGATTGCTGATAAAATCCTGCCCCTGCTTTTTGGGATTGCTGATAAAATCCTCTTCTGTAGAATTTATTTGGTTTACATTTTTTTACTGGTCATGAATCGGTCCTTTATGATGTTGCTGAATGTGATTTTTTCATGATCTTTGTGATTTTGCTTATGTGATTCATATACTGTTAGAATTGACTTGTGATTAATCCTAATTCAGTAGATGATAAATTCTTGTCAGTTCATTTTAGTGTCTACCAAATATCTGCACCTTATTATTTAAAGTGTTCCTAATGTTCTTCTTCTTTTCTTTTCCTTTTTAAAGGAGAAAAATTGATGAATTAGTCTTTCTTATATTTCTTTGTTTGTTTGATTCATTTTCGCAGCATACACTGCTCTTTATTGATATTTTTCTGTATCTACTAAAGATTTGCATTTTGTGTTGTTCTGTTAAAAGCAAATGGAAATTAATGAATAAGTCTCCACTACGTGCGGTGATATAATGCTGACCATGATTCTTTGAGATTTTTGTTGCTCTTGATGAATTAGTTTGTTTAAAGTGTATGTTCTCATTTTCAGAAATTTGTCTTAGATTTGATCATCATTTTGTTTGTTTGTTGAATCTGCTTTTGGCTGTTTTCTTTTCTGTAATTTGTGAAATTCATTGCTGTTTTGATCCACTTTGAATTTTTCTGTTATCTGACTTTATGTTATACAGTTGAGTTCTCAATTTTAGTTTGTTGTCACCTCTACATCGTACTTGATCGGCTCTGAAAAATTGTTTGTGTGACTGCTTTTCTTTGTATTTTGCGTTGCGAGCTGTTGAATTAAGTTTGGTTAAAATCATTTTAATCCCTCAACTTTCTATTAATCTTGTCCCTAAACAACTTCAAAAGAATCAAAAATATCCTTGAACTTTCATTTTTGGTATCAATTCCGTCCTTCCGTCGACAGGAGTGGCAGGTGGAATATTAAACCAAAAAAATCAATCTTCTAATAACATGGAAAAAATACAAAATTTTTGAATGATTTGACATTTTTAATCTTTTCTACATCAGTATAAAAAAAATAAAAAAGAAAATGATCATCTTCTTCCAGTTTGCCAAGGCTTTGTCCCGTCGAAATCCCTTTAGAAATAACCTGAAAATCTAAAACTCTTCTGGATTCTTCTTTCCTTTTCCTCTTCACCCTTAGTTCTCCCGAAATCAATTCGATAATTAAAGATTTTACACTTGATTGATCAAGAAATTGAATTTTTTTGGAGAAAATAGGGAAAAGTGCAATTGAAATTCTATAAGTTAGTGTTCTTCGTTAGATCTAACTTTATGGCTTTTTGAGATTGTTGAGATCTTTATATGTAATGAAATTTTTTAACTGGATATATATATATATACTAGTATTTCCTACCATTTTTTATAGATTTAACCATTAAAATTTCCATTTTTGATGAAGTTTATTTTTGTTTAATGGAAATTTCTACCCAGAAGGACTTCTCATCTTCTTCCAAACCTCATGATGCTCTGGGTTCCTTCATTCATAGCCATATCCATTTCTCAGTTCATATGAGTTCTTTTTTTTTTTTTTTTTTTTTTTTTTTTTTTTTTTTTTCAACGGATTTTAATGGATGAGGCAACGTACGAACTCTATAGGGGAAAACAAAAGGCCAAAGGGAGAAGGAAAGGGGAAGTGAAACCGGAAGAAGATGATCATTTTCTTACTGATTTGGAAAAAAAAAAAAAAGCCAAATCATTCAAAAACTCTTGTGTTTTTTGCATGTCATTAGTGAGAAAAATAAAAGATTGATTTTTTTGGCGATTTAACATTCCTCCTGTCACTTCTGTCCACAGAAGGACGAAATTGGTACAAAAAATGAGAGTTTAATGATCCTTTTGGTACTTTTTGAAGTTTAGGGACAATTTTGGTATTAAAATAGAAAGTTGAGGGACTCAAATGGTATTTTAACCATTAAGTTTTGGATTCTGTCATGGTTGCAAAGGCTAGAAAAATACGTTCAATCTTTAAGAAATCTGATATTTTTGTGCATGGGTGTTAAAAATCATGATAAAAAGCAGATGTATCCTGTTTGCATGCCTTTATAATTTTGATCATATTCTGCATTAGTTGAGTTTGCTGATCTCTATATGCTTATTTGAAACTCTTTGACACTTGACAATGCAATTAATAAAATGATTAGTAAAAATTTGAAATGAAATGGTGATTGAAAATCTGTTCCCCATTTCCTCTTTTTGTTAGATTTGTGGGCATTTCTTGGTTAGCTTGATAATTTTCTGTCTTTCTTTTCTTAGTATTAGTAATCTTTCTGTAATTGAACTTATTGATATTTCATTCAAATATGTTAATAAAATTGTTCCTACTTTGTCATTTTTTGAGCTGTCTTCTGTTGTTAGATTCGTTGATATTTCATTAATGTTTCTGTTGTTGCCTCTTGTGTCTTGTAATTTTCTGTCATATTAGGAGTTAAAAGACCTGTAAAGCTTGATTGACCTTTATTTCTCATTCCATTTACCATGGTATGGGATTCCTAGTTTGTGCTGAGTTTGTCATGAAAATGAAATCAGCTGCTGTTTTAGCCAGTTTCTGCATGGTTTGCCAGTTTAATAGTTATGTGGCAGCAGTCAGTAAGGCAAGGTGATCTTTGTCCTACTGGATATAACATATGTTAATTAGAGTTTGTTTTTAACTCCTAATAGCTTTTTATTTGAATTAGACATGTTGAACTATATATGATCCTTGCTGTTATTTATTTTAGTGATAGATTTTCATTAATTATGTTTGATATTGCCAGGAGAAATTGATTCCTAGCACTCTTGTCATCTGATTTATGCATCTGCCATGGTGCAACCTTAGCAGTTGGAGAACTACTGGTTTTGGCATTATAGCAGTGGGCTTTTGAGCTTCCCACAGGTAGGTACACTTTTTCTAAGTGGTTAATTAATTGAAAAGTCAATGAAATTTACCATAATGGTGATTGGATTTCTTTTAGATTTCTATTCTGCTTATGCTTCTATATGCAAGACTATTCTTATCTTCCATTTTTAAAGAAACGCCTTTGTTCGGTTGTCTTGCAATTTTTTTTTTTTTGGCAGGTCCATACATTTTGGTTTTTCCTAAAAATAGATCTCCTAATAGTAATAAAAATATCGTTGATGTGGCTGGTTGGTCAATGTATTTAAATCACAGAATCCACCATTAAACAATTCACTAAGTTTGGCTCCAAATCATCCATCCTCCCAGTAACCCCCAAAATTGAAAAGCATGTATTACGGTTCCAAATTAAAAAATAATGCATTTTTCCTGCCAATTCCATAAAAATCCTATGCATCGTTCTCTTAGTTATATTTTCTTCCCCATTCTTACTTTTTCTTCAAAAGTTGATGTCATTTTCTCCCATCCCCAAAGGCAAATTCATTTGCACTGTCTTGCACTCCAACAAGTAGAATGGATCTATCCAGTATTGTGAAGAAGCTTGGTCTGTCTGAACACAAGCGCCTGATCCAGAAAGCTGCAGGGTGCTCTGCTGTCTCTGTGATGTACACTTCGACTCCTCCATCATTGAAGTAGTAAGTATTTCGACTTTCAATATATTCACCCCAAGAAGCCAAATAAGAAAGTGAAAATCATTCCGTGGAAGTACTAATGGTATTTTTGTTTGTACGGAGATATCTGTGAAGCTGTAATCTGCGTAGAAATTGCCACCACAACGTAGTCAAATAATCGCTTAATCGATTGGTTCCGTTTCTTTTCTATCAGTTTCAATGTTTTGGGCTAGGTTTTTGCAATGGAGGAATTCTTATGTTATGGAAATTATAGGTTCAGGGAGGTGTTATTCGACAGATTGAGGGCTATTAAGTTAAGTGGAATGTCAGAGAAGGCTTAAATTAGAGATCCCTCAATTCCTTGCAGAACAGTCTCAATGTCAAGTAAGTTTTTCTTCTCCTAACTTTTTTCATTTGATATTGGTTTTTATTGTTGTGGGGTTTTGATTGAATTGGAGAGAATATAATGTCGTAGGACAACGGTGGAAGTAAGACAATTGGGGACGCTCATTCCTTTGTTACAAGGGGATTATCACTGTAAGACCCATTTCTTTTATGAATCTTTTGATTTTTGTATGTCACGTCCCAGGACCCAAATTCGGGGACGCGACAGGCGCTGTGCACTCGTGAGAGGATCCCACAAATGCACAAGGCTCAGAACTTAATCATATCACAATCTGATACCACCAAAATCTGAAAATAAAATCTTAAAATCTACTCTGATATCATAAAATCTCCAAATACACTCGAGTTTACAAGATCATAATTTATTTCTAAAATCTATATCAATCTCGAAATGGCTAGTCTTCTAACTCGTCACTTCCCGTGGTTTCCCCGTCCTCAATTTTGCTTCCTGAAATGGTGGACAAGGAAAAACTATGAGATAAACTCAGTAAGTAAAATATGGAGTGCCCTTATTAAACTTATAGTATGCCAACATGTGCAATTACGAAAAACGGATATAGTACGGGAACGAAATAGACGTCTCTTCTATAGGTCACGGCTAGTGTTATAAATCTCTCATTGGCAGGCTACACTTGAACCGGTTCTATCAATAACATGTCGACATGTGCTAGCGTTTAACCCCCACTAACAGGATTATTAATAACATAACCACATCGAAGATAAAACAGGCAGAAGTTAACAGAAAAATCATAATTCACCAATCACTTTCAAGTCATCAGGACAATCAATTAAATTTCTAGTAGGCATGCTCAATTTAATGAAAAGTATAAAAATTTCACTTCAAATCAATCATACTTGTGTAAAACGGGTTTAGTCCCACCACCACTTCAAAAACAAATCAAAACATGCTTTTAAAAACTGTATGGGTATTACCATAAATTTACTTACCTCACTCGCATAAAACCGAAGACTCAATCCCAATGCTAAACTGACAGAACAATTAGGAACCTAATTAAAATACCCAAAAATTAATTATCTTACCACAGATTCAAAAGTAAAATCACCATGACTACCCCCTACTCATGATGCTATTTCTATCAATCTCCACATGATCAGATATCTTCAAATTTGTTCTTATATTACAAACTAATCATTTAAATCCCCATTTATTGTTGGCCATAAGTGCGTGAACAGTACCATGAACAGTACCATGAACAGTAACTGCACTTCCAAAATTTGGCCAAACCCTTGGTTATTTCACGGGATTTTCTCTCCAAAAATCACACAGCAGTCAATTAACACTCAATCATATAAATCCCACTTGAATTAATGCTTAAATTTGTCCTAAAGCTACGAAATTCCTCCCCATTTTTCTGTAAAATTCGGACATAACAGGGGTAGCCACTACATGGATAATTCAACAACTAATGGATGATTTTAGGCTCAAAGGGGGCTGTCACATACCATAAATCCAGCAAGCAAAACCGCAGTGCAGATTGGGGAGGAGCCGGCGGGAATTGCAGGGGGAATTTCGGGAAATCTACCCAAAAATTGGAGAAACCAAGAGAAATTAAGGCAAACCCAACTTAAATCAAAGCTAAAGGATGAAATCATGGCTGTTTCTTACCTAAAAATGCCCAGAATTCGCACCCACCCAATGACGAGCAACAGACGGACAGAACAGAGCAAGGCAGATCCGGAAGCTTTCCTGCAGGGGGGGGAAGATTTCAAGGCTCCAATCTTGTTCTTGAGCAAGAAAAGAAGGATAAAATCAAGCTCTCTACCGGTTTCCTCGAGGCATGGCTGGGTTCCCTTTTTTTTTTTTTTCTTTCGGGTGGGCTGCAACGGGGAGAAGGAGAAGAAGAGCAGAATCGGGCTGAGAAGAAAGAGGAAAAGGAGAAGAGAAATAAGCCATCCTTATCCAAATGTCTTTCACTTTTAAGCCCCTCAACTTTGGATATTTTTGCTATTAAGCCCAAAACAATATTTTCTCACAAAAAGGTCCTTAACTAAGTGCTAAAATATCACAAAATTTTGGGATATTACACTATCTATAATCATCCCGTTGATTAAATTTGTTCACTTATGGTTGTTGGAAAGAGTTTGCCATGTGTTTGTGAAAATGCATGAAGGATTAAATTTCAAAAGACGGGCTTTCTTCCTTCTTTTGACAACATGTGACAATTACCTGTCATGGATTTTAAATGAAGTACTTTGTTTATTTGTAAAGGGGAAGATTAAATGACCTACAGTTTTTTGCATGTTTTGTAGCAAATAGATTGCAAGTGCCAAAAGGGGTCTCTCTAAGTGACTTAATGATGTTGAATGTCAGCCACAAGGAGCAATTTCTTGCGTCATTGCCAGCTTCCAGGCAGGGGACTGTCAACTTCACAAGGCCTGTGTTTACAGTTGTGGCGTTTTACCTGTGGAAGGAAACACAAGGTTATTGAGATGTAATCTTTCTATTTAGTGGTTATTCCTTATATTTTATCCAAAATTAACTTGAATTTTTGGGAAATTCCTTTAAAGTAAGTCTACTAAATTTTTTCTTCAAATTAAGTGGAAGTTAAATTTTACATCTTGTGTAAGTGAAGATGCCCTAATTAATCTTTCATAAGTGTATTAGGGCTTTTCGAAAGGTCTAAAATACTCTTTTTCTAACAATTAATTACAATGTTAAGCATTTATTAATTTTAATTAAATAAATATTAAAATTAAAAAATAACAATAACCAAAACTCTCACTCTCCTTTCTTTTATTACTTTTATTTATGATTTTTATTTTGATACCTAAACATAATGGAAAAGTTCAAATTAATTAGTAAAAATTAAATTTTTTTTTATTAATACAGTTCATGCAACCTAATAGTGATTTGATATAAAAAATTATTTAAGGTAGCTTTTTTTAATCAATTAATAATTTGAACTTTATGTTAAATTTAAATCAATAAATAAAATTTTTTACTAAATACATTGTTGCGATTTTAAAATAAATAAATTTATTAAATATATATCATTAATAATTTAGATAAATTATTAACTATTACTCTCAAATTGTTATATTAAACCAAGGTTTTTAAAATCGAACCAATCAATAAACTGTTTTAAGTTTTGGTTTTTGGTTCAATCGGTTCAACCAATCAACTGACCGACCCAACATAAAAAGGAGATTTAAGGGGCCGCGTCCCTGCTTCCTAAATTTTAAATGTTCGACACTTTAACTTCAACATTATTTTTTGCTACCTTGACCATTTTTAACAACTTTTTAACATAAATATATTACATTTTTACCTTAAAAACTTATCAAATAACCTCAATTCCAATTTTCAAAACAAAATATATATGGAAAAACCAAGCAAATAAGCAAGAAATACAAGTTTCAAATCCAAAAACAAATAGAAAATGATAGACAATAAGTCTTAAAAAAGCTTAAACCCAAATAGATAACAATTCATGAAGTTTCAGATATAAATAAAATGAACTAATAAAGGACTTGTTCATTCATTTCTCCTTAAATTAGGAGGATCTTCATTGAACCATGCATCACGTTCACAAAAATCAGAGTATACCAACAGAAATCAAGGCTGATGAAGTGAAAGAAAGTAGATCAACAGAAAGCAGTTTTGGACTTCCGGTGAGAGCAAATCAGCAGACAGCACAGTAGAGAGCAACTTCGGTGATAGCAAATCAGCATAAAGAGAGTAGCTTCGGTGAGAGCAAATCAGCAGAAGGTAGAGAGCAGATCAACAGAAGGCAAAGAGCATCTTTGGTTTGATAAGAGCATATCAGCATAGAGCAGAGAGCAGCTTTAACGAGAGTACATTAGTAGAACGTAGAGAGTAGCTTCGATGAGAGCAGATTAACAAAGAGCAACGCGGGAGATCAGACACAACAGAGAGGGAGGGGAACATCGGTGGTGTGGGAGTGGGTAGAGAGGCAGAGAATTTGGGTTGGGAGTCGAGGGTTTTCACAAACAATTTTAGATTTCAGATTTTCAGCTTGAGTTTCTAATTTAGTTTTTGATGATTTTGCAATTTTGTTGAAATTAAGGGTTAAAACCGGTATAACAAAGGAATGGTGAAAGTGAAATTGGTAAGAAGAATGCATGCTAAATTGAACCAATGGTTTTTCTGGTTCCATCGGTTCCACCGGGTTTGAACAGTTTTGACATACAAATGGGTCTCCTATGCAAACCAAGCCGTTTTCACTCTCAGGTAATGGTCCGACTGGTTCAACCGGTTGATCCAATCCGGTTTTAAAAACTTTGTATTAAATGGCCCTATAAAAATTTAACATACCATCTATATTATAATGCAGAAGTAAAAGCAATCTCTATTTCGGTGGTTATTAATTTCCCAAGTTGCAATTAATCAAACTTCACTTATTAGATTCAAACTCTTTTAGATTGGATCATATAACAAAAAATCTTTTAAATTAGATTATTTATTTAGAATTTGAATTTCACTTTATTAAGTTTTTAAATTAAATTTGTAATTAATTTTAGTATTATTTTTTAAATTTTAAATTAATAAATTAATAAAATTTATATGAACTAATAAAACTTATTATTTCTATATATATAAAAAATAAACCCATCTTTCCTTCAAGAATTGGGAAAGAATTTATTAAAAATTACTCAATCCTCTAAAAAACAAAATATAAATAAATCAATGAACATAAATTTAGAACAAAATTGCTTGTGTAGAGAGGAAGGAGCCACTAGTTTTATTTTTTTTAGGTTAAATGTTAATTTTGGTCCCTCAATTTTAAGGTTTTGCATAATTTTTGTTCCTTAATTTTTTTTCACTTTTTTGATCCCTTAACTATGAAAAATGCACTTTTTTAGTCTTCTGTCAACTAATCTGTTAAGTCTATTTCAATTTATATATTTTTAGTTCCTCAACTTCTACTATATGTGTATTTTGCATTCTTCAACTTAAAGTTGAGGGATTAAAAACGTACAGATTTAGATAGACTTAACGTGTTAATTGACGGAAGGATTAAAAAACACTACTAGAAAAATGATATATACGGACCGACCATATACGGACCGAATAGTGTCGGTCTGAAAAAACTAAATATTCGAACCAATATTGGTCTGAATATACTAATGAACATATTCGGACCGGTATCGGTCCGTATATTTCTGGCGGGCGTCACAATATAGACACGCCAATAATATTTAGATCGTTTTCGGTCCGAATATTATTTTTGAAAAAAATAAATATTAAATACCAAAAAATATTTCTGGCGGGAGTCAATAGTATAGTCGCACCAATAATATTCGGACCGTTTTCGGTCCGAATATTATTTCTGAAAAAAATAAATATTAAATACCAAAAAATATGAATAAAATATTATTTAACTAAATATATACGGACCGGCTTCGGTCTGTATATAT